TTAAAATTTTAAAATCAGATTTGCATGTACTAATTATTCCGGCAAAAGTATATTTTACTGGATGATATTTATCCAATTTATTCAAATTTTAAAGATATTTGAATGGAAAGGACGATTATATTTCAAATATTATCCTGCTTTAATTGTAATTTCAACAGTAAATCGAAATTTGTTCCTGTATTTCTTCTAATATTGCAGACTTTGAATGGTTTAAAAACTTTTCGAAGTTAAAATTAAATTTCATAATTGATTTTAAAAGTTATTGACTTGAAAATTTAAAAGATCATTACTTGATTTCTTAATTTTTTTAAAAAAAAATATTTCAGTTTTTCAATTTAATGATTCAAAAACATGAGATAAAATTTTATTTAAGTTTTGTTTTTCTTAAAAAGTTTTATTTTTTGCTTTTATTAAATCAAATAGCAACTACATTGTCAAACATACCTTTCTTTCAGCATTTGGTGCAATTTTTTAATTGGAAGTCGGTTTTGCTTCATATCATTTTAAATTCATAACTGTTTGTAACTGATAACTTTCACAATGAATTTTTATTTGAAGCATTTATGGAAGTAAATTTAAAACAGAAAAAAGACAAATAAGTGAAGTTGTTAAGGAATAATTCCAAATAAATTTAAATTGTACTTATCGTATTATTTCATTGTTTTATCTGCCATTATCATTAACTACTAAAGAATTGTACAGGGTTAAAATTTTTAAAAGTTTGCTTAAAATAAGAAAAAATAACAAACGAAGAAACATATATAGAAATCATCAATATGAATTATTACAAAGAATTATGGGAAAAAAGAAATATTCTTTTCTTCATGAAATTTTTTAGAATCATTTCATTGAATAGTGAAAATTTCATTCTGTTATTAGAAACGAAAAATTATTCTCTCTTCTTTTTTGCCATTTTTTCCTTTCTTTTTTTTCGTAAGTAAAGAATAAATTTTGAATTTTAATGAAGTGGAAAAAAAACGAATAAGTTAGAAATAAATGAAACAAAAGTTTTCTTTTTCTTTAAAAAAAAAAAAAAAAAAAAAAAAAACAAAGCAAATTGGAAACAAACAAGAAAAGAATATTTCTTTTTTCTATAAACAAATTAATTGATCAAAAACAGTAACAAGAAATAATTTTTACAAAACAAAGAATATTTATTATAAAACCAAAAATTATCAGCATTAATTGATTAATTTGTCTACTAGAATTGATTTATCAACATAATAGCGATCAATTGATAATTGATTGATTGATTGATCGATTGATTGGTTAATTGACTTCCACATATTCAGTTTGCTTGGTCAAAATAAAAATATAGACAAACAATGTTATTGTTAGGTAAATATTTTATTGAATAATATATCAATTAATTTGATTTTGAAATAGTAAATACTTTACAGCATAAAAAGAAAGAATAAGTGTTCACATTAAGGAAAAAAACAAAACAATCAATTGAAAAAATAATAAAAAAGAACGAAAAACTTATAATTTTTTCTACATTATATAAATAAGAGTTATCAATTATTGAAAAATTGAAAAAAAAAGATTTAAATGTTGAAATAAATGAAATAAAATAATCAATTTATAAACTTTTAAAATTCACAGCTTTATTTAGCACAAATATTTTAACTCCTCTGATATTGAAAAAATGTTATAATAATAGAATGAAATGAATAATGGCTCTATTTGGACAATTGCGCAACTCTTAACATTTTGCTGTTCAGTACAATTGATAAAATCTCCTCATGCAATGTAGTTCTTTTCATTTTATATAAAACAAATTCAAAATGATTGAAATCTTTTTTCTAATTAAAATGAAAAAACGTATGTATTAAAAATGATAACAAATAAAATATTAATGTGTTTTCGATCTTCTTTTTGATCTTTCGATAAAATGAATTTCTTTATTTACATGTTGGTGTGTTTTATTTTTTTTATTTATTTTTTTTTTTGTTTGTTTATTTGAGAATTAATTCAATTTATTTCATATTTATTTGCAGGCGCATATGCGTTTGAATTGCTGAAATTATTTTAAAATCACAGTTGAAACAGGCACTGTTACATTTTTATTGACTGATAAGACCTAGCTTTAAAAAAAAAAAAAGTTAGTAATTAGTACGAATGAAGTAAACAAAATGCAATCACCTCATTTTCAAAATTCTATCAATCAATTTGATTGATCAAATCGGTATGATTTTATAATCATTCAGAAATATAAAAATGTAACTATTCGGCTACTCATATTGCTTAAAAAGGAAAAAAAAAGTTTAAATCATAATTGCAAGATAGATGATTAATTCGTAAAATCACTATACTTATTTATCTTAATTACTATTTATTCATATATTTCGATTATTCATATGCAACTTCTTATTCTAAAATACAACAATTATTAAATTATAATTATTCTATATAACTATTTTACCATATTTAATATTGTTACAATTATAAATTGTACTATCATAATTTAACATCCGGAAATTATTTCTGTAAATTTTTTTGAATAATATCACAAATATTATTTCCTATTTTTTTCAAATACAATAAGTTTTAAATTTGATTAATTTTATTAACATATAACAAAAAAGAAAAAAATGTAAGTAAACGGTGAAAATAATCGTTTTTATCTTTGCTTTTCAAAAATATTATTAATATAATTATTTAAATTTATATATGATTTATTTTTAGAAGAGCTAAAATTGATATCTGTTATTTTAGGAAGCTAAAATGAATATTTTCATTTGTAAATGAATTTATTACAAATAAATAAAATAAAAAATTTTTCATTCAACTTTCTTTTTCATAAATGCTTCATTTTTCTTCTGTTGTAATAAATATGCTCATAGTATTATAAATATAATTAAGAATAACAACAAGAAATTTCAGAATTTGAAAATTAGAAATGAGAAAAATTTTGCTAAGATCTTACATGCATGTATGTATGTATGTGTGTATGTGTGTGTGTGTGTGTGTGTGTGTGTGTGTGTGTGTGTGTGTCTGTGTTAAAATATAAAGATAATAAATGAATTTATCTAAAATATCATTAAAACCAATTTAAAGATCATTATGTAAATAATGAAAAGTTCGAAGATTCGTTGTCAAAGTAAAAAGATTAAGGAAAATTGAAAGGTAATAATACCATTAAATAGTCCTTTAAATCAATCAATTGATAAATTTTTATATCTTTTATGCTTTTTTATCAATTAATAACCAAATATTTGGAAATGATTTGTTGTAAATATTTGCTAATTTAAAAATTTGAAATAAACCATTGAAAAATTTAATAAATTTAAGTCACAAATTTAAATCGAAATAAATGCATCAAATTATTTACCGCAATTTTATTTGAAAAAACTCCGTTTCTATTTTAGTTAGTATAAGTTAGATTTTGATAATGAATTAAAACGAAGCGACGTTTGAAATTTATTAATTACACTGATCTTATCAGTTGTCTTATAGAAAATGAAATAAACTAGGTTTGAATATACTACTACTCAATCTCTTTTATTATACTTATTATTACATATAATATATAATTATTTAAGTAATTAATAAGTATTAATGTGCTTGACATATAATTTAGGTGATGCTTTATTCAATACTTTTTATTATGCTACTTACTTTCTTAGGTTCATACTATATAATTAATTTAAATAAATAATTGAAGAATTTATAGTGATTTTTTTTACATTACACTTGCAAATAATATTAAATTAAATGATAAACATTGATATAATTTAGATGCTGTTAAAATGCATTTTAAAAATTAATCTTTTGCTTTGACTAATCTAAGAAAATATAAAAATGTAAAAATCTAAAACAGATATTTAAAAAATTTTTAAAAATGCCAATTATTTTTCTGAATTAAATAATAATAATAATAATATATCAGTGGGAAAAAGTGTAGTACGAAAAAATGTAGTATAATAATGGGAAAAAGTGTAGTACGAAGATATATAATTGAATAAATATTAATATTTTTTGTTACACTAATTATTATCATAGATATATAAAATAAAATTAAACAATACCAAATAACATGTAAAATATATAATTTAAGTAACTTTAAAATTCAATCTCGTTTTTTTTTTTTTTTTTCTTATCACAACAATAATTTTCACAATGGTATCTGCAAAATGATATTTGATGTTATCAATGCAACAAATCGTTCTGTGATGACAAAAAAAGAAAGAAGAAAAATGTTTTTAAAAAAAAAAAAAAAAAACTGCAAATGATAGTTTTTGTTTTTGTAAAACGATAAAATGAACAACACGTTTCATATCCGTTGCTATAAAACTGGTGATGAAAAGAAAAAGGAAGAAGAAGAAATTGAAGGAAAGTAAATGAAATGATTCACAAATTCTATCAATCAACGATTCGATACTGATAACAGTTTATTTATTATTAACTCTTCTCATTTTTTTAAATTTTAAATCTCTAAAATTTTGTTTTCATTTTCAAATGTTTTCTTCTTTTTTCAGTAATATTTTTTCTGATAAAAGATTTGTTGATATAATATGATAATAATAATAATATGATAATATTTGGGACTATTTATTTTATAAAAATGAATAACTTTTTTTTTAATAATATTGTAAAATATTTGTTTGCTCACTTTTTTAAGCTTTTTATCTTGTAGAAAAATTTGTAAATTTTAAATTCATTAAGATTTTTATAAAAAAAGGAAAATGATTTGACTGCTAAATTTTTGTACGAAAATTTTTCTAAGTCTTGAAATATTAAATCTTTTTAAAATTTGTAACGTATATTCATATTAGCAGATGTATTTATCATTACAAACGAATTTTTTATTATATTTCTATAACATCCATTATTTTTGCCTAATTATAAAATTATTATAAATTTTTTTGTAAAAAAAGAATGTTAAAAAAGGTGCAAAAAAATTTTCGAAGAGTCATAAATAAAGAAATCATTTTAGATTGAAATTTGCATCAATTTAATTAATGAAAATTTCCTGAAGAAAAGGGAAAATCTCAGTTATGTCTTTGGATAAGGTAAGTCAAAACTGAATAATTTTAATTTCTTTCACAAAATGTAATAGTCAAATTTAAATGAAACTAAATCGGAGAGAAAAAATAGTAATGTATAAGAGTTGTAAAATTTATACAATAATATTTATTATTTATATTTATAAATTTGTTTAGAATATTTTAATGTTACTATCCCTTTTTTCTTTTGCCCTCTCTCTAAACCCTTTTCTTTCTTATCTTCTACTCTCTCCGATTATGTCTTTGTCCTATACAAAATATATAAAATCAAAAAAAAAAATTATAATTTGTGATAAGCTTACCAACTAAATGAAGAGTTCAAGAAAATTAAGCATTTCAAAAAAAAAAAAAAAAACGAAAATATCTATACGACACAATAAAAGAAGAATATAAATAATAATAATAATAATAATATATAAATAAAAATAAATTTAATTCCATATTCAAAAGAATTTTTTTTATTTAATTTATTTAAATAAACTTTTTTTTTTCTTTTTTAGACAGTTGAAAATGTGAATTTGATGTTAAACAGTGTAAGTAGCAATGTTAATGAACTGTTAACATTGTTTCGTTGGGCAATTCTTCTCTTTATTATCACATTCTGTCTGATGGTTATTGCTTTAACAATACTTTGTTTTTATGTTAAATGTTATGAGGTAAGCATTTAATCTTTCATAAATATTTTAAATTAATTTATAATTTAATAAAATTACACAATTAATATTGCTCTTTTTGAAATTTATTCTCTAATTGTTGTGTAAACATTGCGAAAAAAAAAAATGAAAATTATCAGTGGAAAATTAATCTTATCATTTAAAAAAAGAAGTCTAAAAAGCTTGATCACTTTCAAATTAGAAGTACAGTTTAAATTGACACCTTTTTCTGTTTATTTTAATGATTACAAAAATGAAAAAAAAAAAAAAAAAGATGAAAAAATCAAAATAAAAAAAAGGCCATAGAAGCAACAGAAATTTTATCATTGATAAAATGCTATTCGTCAAAAAGTATATTAAATAGCTACTAGAAAATTATTTCTTCGCATAAAATAAATTCACAAATAATAGCATACTGAATTAATTAGTATAATTAATATTAAATTAATTACTATAATTAAAGAGTTATTGAAAGATCATTTAAGTGCTTACTAATTCAACAATGACACAAGAGAAGATTATTTTTTCTTGATAATAATGATTTATGATTTCATTTAATTTGATAAATAATTTTAAACATCGAAAAAATAAAATGCTACTTTGATAAAAACATTTTTTTAAAGACAAAAGAAAAGCAACAAATGAAATAATTTACCAAATGTAATTTTTTTGTTAAAATTGTTCAATTTTAACAAAATTTTTCAGATTAAAAATGTTAATAAACTGAGAGAAGCAGAAGAATCGAGTAGAAACGATGAAAAGATTTATCTTGCTGTTTGACAGAAAAAAAAAATGCGCAAAAGTGAAAAAAAAGCGCCACAATTTCTCAACTGCAATCATTCATACAAATATTTATCAATGTTGAGTGAGAATTTTTTTTTTCTTTTCTTTTCGTAACCTAAATTAATTCTATCATTTAAATATTTTGTAACTTTTTAAATCATTGCGAAAGACAACTCAACACTAACAAACAATAGCAATGTCAAAAAATTTTGCCCAAAAATTTTAAATTTTTTTTAAAATTAAAAAATTATTTTATTAATTTATTATTGTTTAACTATATTAGTACTTGTTCATTGCTATAGAAAAAATTTTCATAGTTATTTTGTTGCTTATATTATTTTTTTCCTTTTTTTTTCTTTGCTAATTTTGGTTTTTTGCATTATTATAAATTATTGTTTACCTAAAATCTTGATAATATGTTTAATTTTTTCTTTTGTTTATTGTACTGATAAGAAAATGTTTCATATCAATGTAGTAAAATGATACAATCATTTGAGTAGTCTGTTGTACTTTCAAAGATTTATGAAACATAAAATTCAAAAATTTTCTTTTAAAAAATGACATTAAAAATCATTTTGTTAAATATCGAATAAGTTTTTATTCATTTATCATTTTGAATAACTAAATTTATTTCTTTTAAAATCAAACTTTTTCATAAAATTAATCTTTTCTCTTACTTTTGAAAATCTGATTTTTTTTTTTTTAAATAAAATAAAAAAACACGCAAAAAAGTAAAAAACAAAACACAAAATTCATCCGATCATTAATTTAATAAATATAATCGTTACGTAATTATTTTAATTTTTAACTTTGTATTTTCTTATTCTAAATTAAATTAAGTGACGTGAAATTTAGCGTAAATTTTTTTATTTCTATCACTTCTGACAAATGATTTTTCTTCTTTTTTTGCATAAATTATAGATTGTTACATAATTATTTTTATTTTTGCTTTTTTCTTATTTTAAATCACAATAAGGTAAGTTAAATTTGATGTAAAATACTTCTTGTTTTTATCACTTCTGATGAATGATTTATTGATCGATTTTAATTTTTGATTCTCTCATTACAAATTTAAATGTTTACATACATATACACATACATATGTACATACATACATACACATATACACACATATATACGATACAATTCGTGCTTGTCAATTCTACAAAATTGATTGGTGCACGGCAAAAATGCATTACTTAGTCATCATCATCATCACGATTATCATCAATGTTATTATTTTCATCATCATTGCCATCTATCATCATCGATCTTCGATCATTGATTTGTCATCATCATCATCATCACCATTACTGTCATCAATTTGTTAGCCTTTAGCGTTAGTATTAGCATCCGTGTTTTACTTCAATGCAATTGTAATATATTGCCACTTTTGAATTGCTTAAGAAATCATCATAAATTATTGTTAAAAATTTTTGCTAACAAACGGTATTTTTCAAAATTTAATTTTAAATTAATTTAAATAATACTTCTCTTACTTCACTCTCTTTTTCTTTCTTTCTTTTCTTATTTCTTTTTCTCTCTCTCTCCCCTTTCTTCTTTGTTCAACAAAAAAAGAGAAAAAAAGTAGCATATTAATTGTTTGTCAGCATAATATTATTCATTTTCCACATTTCAAATTATTCCTTCCTTTCCAATCTCTTCCAATCTTCTTTTTTTCAATTGAAAAATGTAATTAATTATACAAAATTATGTTTCAAACGTTATTTTCTGATTAATTGCTGCCCAGCTGCATTTGTGCATTTATCAATTTGGTTATACTTTTTCCGGAAATCAGTATTGTTCACTCCTGAAATATCACTGTAATCCATTGCATATGTATGTGTACGTGTGTGTTTTAGATTTGATGACAATAATTGCTTAGATTTGATGACAATAATTGCTTAGATTTGATGACAAGAATGTTTAGAGAAGTTAGATATTGTTTTCCACTTAAAATTTCAAATTTTATTTGATATTTTAAATATTTATGTAATTTTTTTTGATTTTTCATTTCCCTTTTATTTATTATTTTCCTATAATTCGATTATTTAGATGGTTTAGCTGAAATTATTAATTTAAATTAGCTTTTATACCGATGCATTTAAAGCTTTTTTTAATATTTAATTTGAAGACAATGTTAGCAGTTAATTTCTTCATTCTACTACCAAACATACTAAATGTTAATAATTTTATTCAGCTTGTTAATTTGCTAATAATTATCTACTTTGTGATGTATAGTAATTTCTGTATATTTTAGGTTATTATTATTTACTTAATTTAATCTTCAAGTGTTCTTGTAATAGCTGCCGTCATCATAAGCTAAATTATCTATTCAATGTCTTCAAATAATGCTACGCTCAATACAGTTATCGATCAGGTGGAATGGATCGAACGTATAATTGGTGATTTTATCGTTTCTGTAAGTGTATTTGATATTATCATATTTATCAATAAGTATACTTTGCACATATTTTAATTAATTATTTTAAATGGATAAATGTTAAATTCAAAATTTTAATTCTCCAAAAAAAAAAAAATCGACCATTTTTAATTGTTATTAATGATGTGATGAAAATTCTACATTTTCATAAAGACTAGTAGGACGGAAAAATTTTGCTTGCAAATTTATTTCGCTATCTTATTTTTAATTTCAGTCATCATTAAACATGAAATTTCTTTTCTCTTCTCTAAATTACATGAAAATTCCGGTATTTTCTGATCATTTAATTATGGTAATAAGTGGAAATAATTATCGCAGTAAAATAAGTAACTTTTTATGCTTTAGGTAAAAGATCATGTAAGTAAACTTGCTGTGCAAGGTGAAAAAACTTTTGGATCATTCGAAGATCGTTTTTCAAAAGGAAGTGAAAATTTGAATGCAGCAGCAGTAAGTTTTATTATTAAATTAAAATTCATTAACGAAAAATTTCGAAAGCAATTACCGATAAATCTTTTCTGCTATTCGTGACGAGCACTGATGGTGAAGAAACAAATTAAAAGTAAGATTCATAATTACTTAATGTTTCTGATTAAACTTGTTCCATTATGAGGAACACACTAATTTTTGAGGTCGAAGGTTAAACGAGAAAAAAAATTGTAAAATCAATGATATTACACTTTTTTTTAAAACAACTTGTTGATTTTTCAAATTTTCAATTCATATTATGCTTAATTCTTTAGAAAAGTTTTGCTCTGCCAAAGATGGAAATAATTTCATTTAGGCTACAGCTTATCAAAAATGTGAAAGTCTACCCTCACTGATAACGATAATCGTCTTTTTGATTGCTGCAGGAATTGTTGTAATTATATCATTGCTTTTTTTGCTTACTAAATGTATTCATAGAGTTGTTTATCATCATTATATCAGAGTACGAGGATCAAAGGTACATGCACAAAAACTAATTTGTGAATAAAATTTGGTAAAAATATTTCTGTCAAAATTCTATTTTAATTTTCAGTAAAATGTCAGTTTAAAAAAAAAAAAGGAAAATTTAATAATTTTTATCAGTATGTGGAAGTTCTTTAAAAATTCAATTTGATTTTGATGATTTTTCTCTTTTTCTAATCGACATTAATTTCATCAGTGATTGAAATTAATGTCGATTAGAAAAAAATCATGAAGTTTAATTGATTTCTTGAAATTTCACAGTTGAATTCAGCGAACGATTTAGCCATTCGATAATAAAATTATTACGAATTTTTGAAGAACAAATTTTCTACAAAAATTTTACAAATATTCTTTGTTATCAAAAGTTATATTAAAAAAAAAGAAAAAAAAGCAGTAGAAGTAAAGGATTTTGTCTATTTTCTAATACAAATTGTTTGCAATTGTCTTCTTTGTTTCTTTTTCATATTTCATTTTGTATTTTATTTCAGTCCTTTCATGTTCTATGAAATGTTAAATTTGAAATCAATTATAATATAATTAAAGAAAGGAAATAGGCTTCAAATTAACTATTAGCGCTTTCCGTATATCTTTGTAATTTTTTACATTTGATACAAAGTTCATTGCAACATTTTCTTTACTTTTTTTATCGTTTCATTATATCACTGTCAATGATTGATGTTAAAGTGATAATTTGATCAAATATTTTTATCAGTTCCTTAATACTACTTAATATGTCACAGACATATCTCACTGCATTTTCATAAGTTATTATGACAAGACTTGATTTGATGCTTCAGTTATCATATCATGTCTTAAAATTATCATATCATATCATTGGAATTTTTTTTTCATTTTATTTCTCATATCATATCTGTACTTTCGATACTTTCATTATATTATTCAACATGTATCACAATGATACATTCACACATTATCGTAAACATACCATTATGTATTCATTGTTTTTATTAACATATCACTGATATAATTTTTATTAAAAAATTTGTGTGATTGAAATTTTTTATAAATTAATAAACGGTGAGCAATCAATAAATAATTTACAGTAAAAAATGACAAAAATAGTCCAACATAAAAGTACACTGTTAACGGTTTTTCATTTTTTCTGTTTTCGTTCTTCTTTTTTTTTAAAGTGGAATGATTAACAAATTTTAAAACCGGAATTTTTATTGGTCACATTATTCATTACTTAACGAAAGAAATACAAAAGAATGAAAGAAACACATCGAGAAATTTGTTTAAATTTAAAATCATAACGATGAAAGAATAATTTTTTTCAATAACATTTAAATACCCCGCATGAGGTGAATTTTGTCCAATTTTCATTGTTTGTTGATTTTGTAAAATTTCGAAAAAGATTTTCAAATAATTTTAAATATCATTTGATAAATTGAAATTTTTCCGCATTTTTCCTTCAAAATAAAGATAAACAAAAAAGAAATACGAATCACTTCACTTTTTTTTCTTCTATTTAATAATAAATAATAAACCATTTTGCTCTATTTTTTCGTCTTTTTATTATCAATTTAATAAATAAAAAGTTATTTTCCATTATTTACTCCTTTATCGTTTCAATATTTATATGATATATACAAATTAAATTCATAAATTTATTATCAAAATTAATTTTCCATATAGCAAAAAATCTTTCTGTATCGGATCGATCAGTTAATTTATCAATCAACTGATCAATCAATATTGATAAAAGTTTGATATTTTCTAATAATTTTATAGGTTTTGCAGAAACTTTCAGAAAGCAACTGGGAAACACCAAGATGCGATTATTTTTTCTGTGTGTTTATTCCTTTTAATTCTTGTTTTTTATTTTTTTTTTAAAAAAAAAAATGATATTATTTAAAAATTAAATTTTAATCCTTCGTTTTTAATTTTTGGATTTCAAAAATTAAAAATGAGTAGAAAAATCCTTTTAAATTCTTTTTTTATCTTTCTTCTTTCAAGAATATAAAACTTTGTATTCTTTTTTTTTTGTTATTCTTATCTTTCATACATTTATCACAGAACATAATTTTTAACACAAAAAGAAAAAACAAATGTTCCATTTCTTTTTTTGCTATAGTTTATTTTGTGAAATTAAAAATTATAAAAAAGTATGACATTAATTAAAAATCATATTTTATTAGGAATTAATTTTGATTTGCTTAATTTTTACAATCTATCAAACTCGATTTAATGATGTTTTATAATTCATTTTCAGTCTACAATTTACTAATGCTATTGTTATCTTTGCAATAAATTCATTCAATGGTAATATTATAATAGTCGATGGCCCAGTAAGTTTGTTTACCCACTTTTTGTTATTCTCGGCGAAATTTTCCCGAAAATTTTTGATTATTGATTCATATGATTCATTTTGTTATTGTTAGTTTAAACTTTTATGAATTAAATTTCCTATAGTGAAACTTTGATTAAATGTAAATTTCTAATTTTTAAGTGTTATCTTGTGATCATTAATTTTGTACCATAAATGAAATCACTTTAATTTATGTAAACAAAAAAAATATTTGTCTTTGAATTCTTTCTCATTTTTCATTTGTCACTTTTGCTCCTTCTTGTTACTTTCAGTATCATCCGATGTCATTAATGCAAAATGCAAACGGTCGGTTAGATCCGACGGACGGTCGAGGTAACATTGTAGTGCACCGTCGTCTGAGTCCAACAATGATTAAATAAATCTTTCAACAGGAATAAAATCGAAGACAGAAAAGTAATGTTGTAAACTGTATAAAAAACTTTCTAAAATTATAACAGTTTTGTAATAAGACGTGATAGACGTAACGTTGTATTACACGTGTAGTAATATGGTAACGTAGGATTATATGTTCACGTAGAACTTTAATTATCAGTTATATGAAAATTATACAATCTGAATTGAGCAATGAATGATATTTATAGTAAATGAAAGAAATTAATGCGAGCGTAATTTGTGAACATTTCAATCATAAATAATTATTTGCTACGCAAAGTTATTTTATCGACGTAAGGATAAATGACGTAGCGTTTCATTAATTTAATATCAAATTAATTTGACCTAATATAAAATCACATCACAATATTGATCATATGAATTACTTCTAACAAATATCAAATTGATTAGATTGATTTCTTTAAAACTTTGAAATAGTTCAAATTAATCTATGTATAATTTACTCTTAAATAAAAAGATAAAATTAATAAATGAATAATGCTTAAAATGCAAACAATGAATGGAAAAGTTAACTTTGAAAAATGTAATGAAATTAGCAAAAACCAAAATGAAAACTTTAATTAAAGCTATCATTTTATTATATACTAAAAAAAATTGTGTACACTGAAGAAAAAAAAACAATGAAATAATTTGTTAGATAATAACAAACTGTAAAGCTAAATACTTTTCTTAATAAATTAATCAATCTGTGGGATAATTAGTTTAATAAAGATAAAATTAATTAATAATTAAATAAACGCGAAACATTTTAATGGGAATGACTATTCATTTATAATTCTTAAATTTGTTAAAATATTTTCACAATTTTTAACAATCATTTTATAAGGAAAAAGAACTAAAATACTATAAAATTAAGAAATCAAAAAAGAAAGAAAAAGAAAGGAGCTAATCATACGACAGTGAATTCTTTGTGACATATTACAGAATGTAATGAAAATTTTTGGTAGTACTTGTAAAAGGATTAAAAATTTAATCAATAATTTTTTGAAGTGGATAAATGGTATAAAAATGGAAAGTTTATGAGTGAATTAAAATATCGATTAAACTATTGTTTAACACACTTTTTTACATTTAAGTAAATTCATTCCAATATTTATAACAAATTGTATTTTATTTGATAAAAAATCTCAATTGGAAAATTTTAATGATATTTCATCAAATTTTTTTATTTCTAAATTTTTTGTTTTTTACATTCAAATTATATTTAAAGACATAAACTTCAAAAAAAAAAAAAAATTTTTCATTTTTCCTAATAAAATTTCATATATTAAAAGGAAAAAATTTACATTTTAATGAAAATATGGAAAAGTCTGAAGCATTTTTAATCATTTTGATATACTTTTACCTTGCTGAATGGTTCATTGTTTCCTTATTAACATTTGTTTATTGACCGATATTGCAACGTTTGTCTTTGCATTCTTTTTTCATTTAATAACATTTCAAATATTTTAAAAAAAATAAATAAATTAAACTTTAAAATTTAATTTTACACCACTCAGTAACATACACGTGGTGCAATTAAGAATGAGTAATTAGAGAAATTATTATCAAATTTAAAACTTATGAAGATTTTATATCTTATATTACACAAAAATTAGGAAATTAATTTTATTATTAATTAAAAAAATAAAAATAAAAATAAGTTTTGCTACCTTTTGAAAGCATTGAATGTTTAGATCTAACAGTCACCAAGTAGCCTTTTTGTACACATTTTGCAAAATATAATTCTACAAAAAAATAAATAAATAACATAAAATGTATTAAGGAACAAGAGAAATAATTTTTTAAATAAATGAATTTTTTTTTTGAAATAATAAACAGTCCAAGCACTAAATTTAAAATATATGAAAATTTTAAATCTTACATTACACCGAATTAAGGAATTATTTAAATTATTATTTGGGAATGAAATGAAAGTATACGTTGTTAAGTCTGAAAATACTGAATTTTTTGTGGATTGAAATTTTTTTCTTCTTAATATTATGAAAAAATTTCAAATCTTTAAGCATAAAAGAATGAATTAATTTCTTCCTTAATTTTTTTTCTTTTTTTAAATACATTTATTATAAACAAACATTGAAAAACCGATTGAAATATGCAAGTTTTCAAAATATTTTTTTTTATTTTTTTTTAGATATATAAAAGAAAAAGCATTATAAGCTAAGCAAAAAAAAAAAAGAAATATGTCACAACAAACAGATTTTTCGTTATCATCTGAAAATTACGTAAATACTATGCGTATGGCTCCATTGCGTTGTCCATTACGTCCGTGTACGCAGCAAGCGTTGGAGCATTATATGTCACGTGTCATGCAATTAATGTCTGGAACGAATCGAATTCATACCACTTTTGAACACCATGAAATTATTGAGGTCTTTCTTACGCTTATGTTTATATTTATAACTTAAATTTATCAAATCAAAGTGATATCACTTAAACTGATTAGCTTGAATTATAAATTTTTATCAAGTAAATTTAATTTAATTCGTCTACTGCTTCAACTGTTATCATCATGATATCATTTGATTTTTCAAAAAGTCTAAATAAATATGAAAGATAATTCAGCAAAATTCAAACAATTCAATTATTTAAAAATTTTAGCTTTCTAAATTTGATGCATTCAGATATATTTTTTGATTGATTGGAAATAGTTTTCGTTTTTTTTTTTTTTTTTTTTAAATATAATACTCGAAATTTCTACAACTTTTAGTGATATCTATTTGCAATTGTTTTTCACTTGCATTTTTCATCTTTCTGACAAATTTTTCTGTTAGAAAATGGCCAAATGAAATATTTACAAATAATATAAGACTCTGTTAAAAAAAAAAAAAAAAACATACATATGATCATACAGCTAATATTACTTATCTAATTAATAAATCATTTCTCGTAAATGCTTAATATCGTTATGTTTTTGAAAGCAAAAAAGTAGTTAATATTAAATTAAATAAGCAATGTTAAATTCAAATAACAAAATAATAGTTTTGTTTATAAATAAAATCAATAAAAGGTTAAAAAATCTATACATTAATTAGTTATTTTTTAGAATTTGATTCTGGAAGCAAAATCTTTTTTAGATAATTCATGGATGTTTGACTATTTTTGCTGATGAACCAACATTATTACAATTTCCTCTACCCGAGAATGGTCTCGTTATAATTGGTGACTTACATGGCGACGCATTCTGCTTACTGAAAGCATTTGAATTTTACGGCTTTCCACCAAATATCACATACCTCTTCCTTGGTATTCAATCTGTCCCTTTCATTAATAATCAAAAATATTTCCCATTAATCTGAACTAAGAAACTTTAAAAGTTTTACCTAATTATCTTCCTCTCACTAAAAAAAAAAAAAAAAAATAAAAAAAATCTATTGAATCAAATTTTACTAATAATTGATTTTAAATTTTGATAAAATCTTTAAATTCATTAATTCCTAAAATTTTTAAAATTATACAAATAAATTGATCGCATTAATGGAAAGTGATAAAATGATTAAAAGGAAAATATTTCATGGAAATTTATCGAAATTCAAAGATTTCTAGAATATATTTTCAAAATTTTCCAAATATATATTTTCAGGTGATATCCTCGATCGTGGTCCAATGCAAAATGAAATATTGCTATTTGTTTTTTTGATGAAATTACGTTGGCCAGAATATGTTTATTTATTACGAGGAAATCATGAATTATATCATCTTACAGAACAATATTTCAAAAATCAGGTTTTTATCAAATTACCATTTCGTGTAATTCACGTAATTTACGTCACGTAATTTAAATGTTAACTTTCTATTTATTCATTTTTCCGATATTTGATTACAATCATAATTTGTATAATTTCTTCTTTCTAACCTAACCATTCATTCTCATCAATTTACTATCTTTTGTGAAGTTACGTAATTTATACAATTTTCTTTTTTTGAACTGTTTCCGTTTAAATATTTCATATTTTAATTATACTTGGGAGATGGGTAAATATCACAGAATTTCGCAAATTGCTACCCGAGAAATGGAAAGCAGAAAAAAACTGACACAGGAATGATTTTTAGTGTTTAACAGATTACAATAATCCGTTCACATTTATCTATATTAATCAATTATTCGATTATCTCCCGCTAGCAGCAATTGTTTCGGGTAGTTGCTTACTGTTTTAATGCTTACTGCTACTAAGCAACTTATCAACAAAAGAAATTCAATAATTAATTGATCACTACATGCTGTCCAATTTTAATTAATTCTAAATTTATAGAATTGACCATTTGAATAGCTTTCAATAAAATATTAATTTCTTTAATTTGCATCATATCATAAGAATTCAGAATTTCATTTTAGATTATTTTTTCTTTTGTCATGCGGGTGTGTCACAATGGATGACTTGTCGAGCTAATATAGCAAATATTCCACGACCAACAGATTTGAATAATATGAAAATTTTGGAGGGATGTATTATCACTGATATACTTTGGTCAGATCCAAAACCAAATCAAAGATCGTTAGTAATTTTATTATCAAATTTTCTTCTTTATCATTATTTAGAAAAAATATGAATTAGTAATTTTAAATAAATAATATTAATAGATAATATTTCAGACCATTTGATTTAAGTGAACGTGGTTGTTGCTATAGTTTTAATCGAGAAGCATTACATGCAGTACTTCGAGCATTGAATGTTCGCACATTGATTCGTGGACATCAAATAATTCCGGAAGGTATTTTAGATAATTTCGGTGACGGAAGTTGTATTACTGTTCATACAGCTACTCGTGAAAGTGCTGGTTGTAATTCATGTAAGTATTTTATTCCGGAATAGTTTCAAAACTAAACGTAAAATTATTGAAGTAAAAAAATTTTTAAAAATGGAACATTTTAAAGCACTGAATGAATTGATTGCATTATTGATTGACTTGTTAATTTAAAAAAAAAAAAATTAAATTAAATTAAAAATAGAAAATTGTAAAAATCAAAGAAAATATAATTGTGCTTTTCTTATTTATACTTATTATTAAGAGATCAAATAGTCCTTTTGAAATTTACCCTACTTTTTTAACGCATCAATCATTGTTGTTTATTCTAGCTGGTACGATTAAAATTGTTCGCAAAGATGATGGAAAATTTGTCATGGAAAAACGTATGGCTAAGGTATTGCCTACACGTGACGACATCACGTAGATATAATTAAAGAGTGCGAAGTTATAAGTTAATAAGAACAAAACTTATCGCAAAAGATCACTTATCTTCTTATTATTTAGCTGTATTGTTGATAAAAATAATCTAAATAACATATATCATATAAGCGTTTATATTCAAGCGGAAGGTATCAGTCCACGTAATTACACGTAAATTTATTATAGATAAATTCCAAGAAAACTATGAATAATTTATGTGATACAGTTTACGCATTACTATGTGAAAGTCTACAACGTAGCAGACTGAATCGTATTGTATTAAAATGTCAATGGTGCCGGAAAGCTTATCCCAGAAATATAACTCGCCGAATACGTAATTCCGGTATAGCTGAAATAACATTGTGGATTTCACGATATGCTTTTCGTTATGCACAATACGATGAAATATTTCATGTAAAAATTCTGTTACTTGAGTTAAAGCAATTTAAAAAGTTTAGCAAAATTAGAGGAAAAATTATCTGAAATCTAAGTTACACCAATAACATGCATTTTGGATTTTTTTATTTATTAAAAATTTTGATTTGTAAAATTTCACGTTATTTAGGTCATATTTTTGATTAGATTTTTTTTTTCAATTTTTTCAATATCAGATATTTGTATATTTTATTACAAACTGTTATTTAACACTTAATCTACCTAGTCTGCTTATCTGATCTATCTTTTATACCTAACTAATCAATTTATCTACCTGATCTATCTGTCTATGAAATCTATCATCAAAATGTGTTATATGATAATGTGATACCAATTTGAAAGTATCATACGAATTAACTGACAATCTAATCAAGGAAGCATGGAGAAATCGAAATGATCGGATGATGAACACACGAGCTTATCAGTTATTTCCTGTGCTGTACGATGCAGTTACCTTTGAAGGTGGCTCATCAACAACCCCGGCCACATTTCGTGTCATCTTAGCTCCATGGGAGAAAGCATTTCTGCGCAAAGTTTTCCGATTTCTTTTCGTTCATTTCTTTTTTTTTCTTTTACTTATTTGATAATTTCATCTTTAAGAAATATTCTTTGGTAAATTACGTTATAATTCACGCAAGAATGTACGTATTAATTTCTACGTTACGTCAGTTTTCCGTCACACATTTAATAATATAGCAAATTATGTTTAATTATTAATTAATTTGTACATTGTATCAATTCATCAATAAAGAATTATAATCAAATTTACAAAATAAGAAAATTAATTCTTCGTTTTTGTATTGTTTTACTTTCTCAATCAAAATTTTGAAAATATTATTTAGTTCCTTCTTATTTTTTACTGTCACTGCAGTTGTTTGTGACATCTTCCGATTTTGAACTGGTTGAAACGTTAGCAAATGACGTAGATCCAGGCCTATTGGAAATTCAGCAACGTCGATCAAAGCCTAATTTATTAAGGCGTACGTCATGGCATGTTAGAAATATGCTGAGACACGCTATTGTACGTATGAAATTAGAATTAAATAATACTTTCTTTCAGTACTAAAAGATAGTCTTTTGTTATCTTTCAATTAACAAAGAATTATAATAGTTGATAACTTAATTAATTAAATTAAAATACCGATGCAATGAAATCGATTTAATATCAAAATGATATCCATCATTAAGCAGATAGGAAAAATTCCAGTAATTTAGTAATTTTTTTTCATAATTTAAAAATGAAAAAATTATTAATTATTAATTGTTATGCAACCTTCATATAACCAACGATTACTTACTTAATTAAGATTGCTTACTAAGCAATTTTCTATTAATTATAATTGTAAGTTATTTACCTTCCGAAAAATTACGTGGATTTTTGCAAATTTTTTACAGGGTCTTCGTGATTTACCTTCATTGGATGACACAGATGTGTCAGAGATATCAAGAAGACCGTAATTGATTGATTGGGTTCATTCATAATTTTTACAAAATTGGTCTTAGAAAAAAGTTGCCAAAAATTTAATTATTAAATCCAAAAAAAAAAAAAACCATTGAGTATGCATATTCAAACATTATTTGATAAATTCTTTTCATTTTTAGCTTTTTTAATTTCTCATAAAAAACTTATCGTATTTATTTTATACCATAAATCATTTATGCAAAGTTAAAAACAAAATTTGTTTTGAAATAGTTAAACATTTCAAATTTTTTTAATAGCTCAAGAATAAATTAGAAATGAAGAGAATATTTTTATTTAATCAAGTACAAAAAACAAAAAAAAAAAAAGAAATAATAATAGTTGAATGAGTAAAGCTTTCTAATTTCTAGAAATTAATATTTCATTCCTTTAAATAACTAAATATTTTCCATTTTTATTTTTTAGAATTTGCGAAAACAATTGTAATAATTGATGACAATTTCTATTCTTACTATTATTATTCATATTTATTGACTTTAGTATTATATTATGCCATAAATTTCCACCGAATATGCAGTTAACATTTCATTTAAATATATTGACAAAGCCAATGATAATGATATGATAAGGATAAATAACTTTTCTTATTCACTGTGCAACGTATGTTTGATCATTTTGCAAAAAGTAATAGCGCAATGAAAAATAATAATTACGCTGTAGTATTGCATTTTCATTATATTTTATAACATTTTATTACAATTCTACTATGAAATTTAAAGTTTATCTTTAAGTCAAAGGTAAAAATCTGAAGTAATTAATGGTAGCTATAATATAGGTTAATTAAGAGGTAGCTGAAGTTGTTTTAATATATCGAAAATGAGTTGAGATGTAATGTTTATTGATAGTGAGCAAGTGATTTCTTTTATAAAATTGCTTTTAAAATTGACAGTTAGAGACTAGCAGATATAAAATGAATTAAAATTTGTGCAACGATTACTACTGATTTCATTAATTGATGAAAAACGAAAATTTCCAGTATTTATTGCACTAATATTAAAATTCCAATTCAAATTTAATTTCCTCGTTTCAAATTTTATAATAGTATAATTCTTTAGTTTCTTTCAATTAAATCATTATTATCATCATCCTCTAGCATTTTTCTTTTCTTGTTGCTATCATTGATTTTTGGAGCGGTTATGAGTACGAATGGAATTTAAACTTTTCGAAGTGTCAGCAAGTGGTGATCGTCGTGTACGTTGATAAAAGAGGCTGGAATGATTGGATGGCGTTGATCCGGCAAATTCATCCGGTTCCTCCTGAACCTCATCGTCTTCATTACTTCCTTCATCTGTTGCAGTATTAAGCATACGCCTCGCCGTTTGATCAGCATTGCCAACCGTGTCAAATGAAAGTGACGGTAAAGCAGTAGGCTTTGTCATCATATCTTCTAGGTCCAAATCGTGTGGCTCTAATCCCTCAAATTATTTTTGACATTATAGAGAAAGAAAAAAAAAAAAAAAACAATGAAATTATTCTGTCATTTATATGGATTGTCATTCTGAGATATATTTACATACCATTGCAAGTTTGAATCGCTTTTTGAGTTTTTGAAATCGTGACACAGGCATTTGAAGCTCTTTCTCAACGTCAGAAATATTCCGAAAATTTGGCTTTGTTAGAGTGTCAATGTCTTTTCCACTTACTTTATATATCTGCAATATAAAAAAATCTATTTATATGCATGCATTGATTTAATTAAAATTTGCTTAAGTTTAATTTTTGACTTGAAATTTGAAAAATACTTATCACATATGTAGCTAAAATGATATGCTAAATAAAATGATATTTATGGATTAAATGTTGTTTACGATGTCTGTATAAATTTGATCCAAATATTAAATAATTTTAAATTTATTTTTGTATTGTAAATACAATCTTTTTTCAAGTAATATTATGAACGATTTGAATATTAATTAGCAATTCTGTTATTAATTTTTGAAGAAAACTACCTAACCTTTTTCATTAGTTCAAATTCTTCCTCTAGTAAACAAACACGGAAACTTCTTGGAATATCATCATCTGAAGGTCGTCCAAAGATGATATCATGTGTTAAAGGGAATAAATCGATTGCTCGTTTCATTGCTATAAATTAAAATTTATATTTGAAAAAAAAATTTCTGAACATAAGGTATTCTTTAATAAAATAATTAAATATTTAATTAAAAAAAAGCATAAAATTAGAAATGAAAAAATTATTTGAAATTCATTCTGCAATATTTACAACGTAAATGGTTACAGTACTAAAATTAATATTATGATGATACATTGTAATTAATAATTTATTGACACTCGTAATTAGTACTTTGATGGCAATGGAACTGATAGTATTTTAGGATAAATAACTGCTAAAAAAATAACTATTAACCTGAAACAAACCTGAAATACTCCGCCAGAATGTTCCTCTCCAAGATAATTTCATGATTAATTTATCAGTGAACAATACTAGTTTTCCATTTTTCATCATATAATCCAATATATCACCGTATGCAAAGCAACGTTTACGACGTGTCACGTAAAGTGGATACGGTCGCTCACACCAATGACAACGTCTACGATCATATGTAATAACTGTTGGAAAGAATGAATGCTGCAGTTCGATTTGCATTTTATGAGCTAATTGATTCGCTTCTGCATTGCGAGGTATTAATTCATTCTTTTCAATTATTTCAAATTTATTGGCTTTTTTTTCCAATTTCAATGTTCCACCTTAAAGGAAAATTTATCCGTTAAGAACCATTGTAATGCTAAAATATACTAATTGCTTTCAAAATTTTGTAAGATATTTTTCAAAAATAATATTGTAATGAACACATAAATTTCAATAATATATCAATTCATTCATGCATTATTTAAATTTTTTTTTTTGAATGAAAGCTCACGTGATTAATTATTGGCTAGCAATTAAAAACTTACAAAATGGATCGTACAATTCTTGATGATCAGTAGTGCTATGCACTGTATAACACGTATCATCGCCAAAATTTCGAGTAGTACCACCAGGATAATATTCATGACCACGAATTAAAGTTTTAACTTTTAGCGCACGAAGAACAATATTTAAAGCATCACGATTAAATGAATAACCACAATTTCGTCGACTTAAATCGAACCATCTGACAATTTAATTATTATTGTTTTTAAATATGTATTCAATGCTATCAATTTGTTAGTCATTAACAGAATTAATTAAAAGTAAGTTTTTGAAAAAAAAAAAAAAAAAGGAAAGAGTATTAAAGTTTTAGCACATTGCATACTTTTGTTGTTCAAGTTTAGGATCAGCCCAGAGAAGATCAGCAAGAATGACACCTTCAACAAAATGCATATTACTGGTATAAGTTGGTTTCGGGATATTTCCCACATTACTTCGACATGTCATCCACTGAGATATTCCACCATGGCAAACGAAGAAATGATCTGAGTGAGAGGTATTATTAGCATTATTGATTGATCTATTAAATTTTGATCGTTTTCTATCACTAATAGAAGTGAATGTGAACAAAATTTAAATCTAGGAATACTTTCAATAAAAATAAAACAAATATTGGAGAACTTTTCATATTCTTCTAAGTGGACAAAAAATTGCATCAATAATGATAGAAGCAAATTATTGATCGATCAGATAACAATATTCATAAGTTATCAAAAAACTTTAATTGAAAGCTTAAAGCTCATTTTTTTTTAAAAAAAAAATCTTAATTCTATTACATTATTTATTAAATTATTTCAGATTTGAAACTTATTCAAATAGAAATGTGACAAGCTATTTGTGAATTTTGATTTAATAAAAAATTAATTGAAAAATCGCTAATTCATACTAACTTGAAATAATTGCACAAACAGGCATATGATCGAAAACATGATTAATTTGTGTGAACCATCGAGAGCCTCGTTTAAACATACTTAAGCACTGTAAATTACATCAGTGATTATCAAAAATATCATTTACTGATCAAATCAAATGATCATATCAAAAATTAGCAAAAAAATTTTGAGCTAAAATTCCACTCACCTCGTTATAGAAATCACATTCTTTACCACACTGATAATCTTCATGATTGCCTTTCAGTGTTGTAATGTAATTTGGCCATCGCAATTTCATCAAAAATATAAATAATATTAATTGTACCTGATATAATCCACGATCAACATAATCACCTGAAATTTATACGTGTAAAAAGTTCAATGAAAATTGTTCAATTCGATTTCATTTCACATCCAGTAAAAGATTTAAAAAATGTTAATGCTAAAGAATATTTTATAGCAAATTTGTTGCATTAAAATTGGTAAATTTAAATTCTCTTTAAAATTTAAATTTTAAAAAGAAAATTTAAATTCTCTTTTAAAAAGAAAAAAGAAAAATAATTGGAAAATATAACAAACCTAAAAATAAATATTTTGTATTTGGTGGAAAGCCATTTTTGAGTAATATATTTAATAAGCAATATAAATCACCATGCAAATCACCAACAACAATTAATCCATTTTTAGGCAAATCAAATTGCAGCATTATTGGTTCATCAGCATATATATCTTGTACATTGTGCAAAATCTACAAATATTTTAAAAATATTTAAAAAAAAATGCAGCAAATTAAAAAAAAAAAGTGAGAAAAACGCGTGATAATATATTTGAAGAATTAATTAATCAATTAATTTATTCATCTCATAATGATTACTTTTAAATTCAAAAATCTGAGACTAACATATTAATCAAACTAATTAATCAATTAATTTTTGTTCATTTAATAATGATTATTAAAAATTCTAAAATTTTTGCTGGCTATAATTTATATCAGAGAGTCTTAACATACCGTTATCAGATCATCATCACTGAATGTTGGAAATAATGCGCTATTAGTTTCCACTACTTTCATTAAATTGCACATGTATTTTTCAAGAATTTCTTGTGTTAAATGATAGCATACCATTTTCTTTTTGCTATAAATTATTTGCCACTTTTTTGAATTTTAAAGAAAACAAAAATTACTTTTTAAAAATGATAAATTGAAATTGCATGCAAAAAAAAAAAAAAGAAATATTTTCTAAAAAAATGAAAAAAAATTATTAAACAATTTTAAAACTGTTCATTTAGGCAAATGAATTCGAAATTATTACATTAATCAAAGTTAAAAGTTTCTTATTATAAATAATTTATTAAATTTTCTCTTGAAAATTTCTAATCAAAGAAACTTATTAGCAAATGTTATTTTGAATATTGCATGTTAAATTTTTGATTTTTTCTAATAATTTTAACTTCTGTGATGAAATTGAAGATGAAAAAGGTGTGCTTTTGAGCAAACATATTGTAAACATGCATTATGCAAATTTGCACTTTTATTTGATGTGGAATTCTGAATGGACTGCAGATTGCATTCTTGCAGCAACTGCATTTATCCACAAGTTAACATTTCATTAGCTAATCGATGTTTAGTTGTTACTATTTTTATGGAAGATAATAAATGCATATCCTCTAATAAATGATGTTTTTTTTTTATGAAAAATTGAACTTTTAATTAGCTAAATTATAAACTTTCATACCAAATCTAAAACTGAATAACTATAAAATTAACAAAATGTAGTAATTGAAATTTTAAAAATCTTATTTAATTCATTACTGTTCACAGTGAATTTTTCTTCACAAATTTGATCAAGAAATAATTTAAATTTTAATTAATGTATAATGGTATTACTTACTTAGCAATATTAATCTTATCAAACATACCTCATTCAGTAAATAAGTTTGTGAAGGTGCAGACCGCTCAAGACTAAAAAAAGATTTAGTAAATTTGTTAAAGCAATAAAAAATTTGTAATTTTATAGCAACTTTTATACAATTACAAAAATTTGCATTTATAAAATTTTCCGCATTTCGGCAGCTGCGGCATCGCGGAATGCAGAAACAACTGCTCATGAAATAATTAAAGTTGTCAACGTATGTATATTATAAGGACCAATTCAGTAATTAATTACTGATTAATCATAATATCATCATACATTATTACTTTGAATGTGTAATAGATATTAATGAGTTACATCTGTATAAAATTTCAGTACAAGTATGTTTACTTATTTAGTTATTTCATATATACTAATATAATATCACAAAATTTTACAGTATTAATATCATTATTTAATATTTTTAGTTGCTTTAATTTTTAATTGTAATTAATTTAATAATGCAACTGCTTGTTTAGTTTTAAATTCTAAATATTATAATTGTTTTTTCATTAAAATATTTTTCTTCTTTTCTCAACTTTTATCATTACTAAAAGTGAAAGCTATTTACCTTTCAGTTCATTTCATTTTAACTGTTTAAATAATTTTTTTTTTTTAAATTTTTCACAAATATAACAACATCTTGTTTATTATTTGCCATTGTTTATGCAAATATGCTTGCTGAAAAAAGTTTGATGTAAATAATAAACTTTACTCATACAAAAAACTCAAATTGATAAAACTCAAAAACAAAATTATTTATTAATAAGTGCATCTTTTTAATTTGCATTTAAGCATTATATTATATTCATTTAAATGAATATAAAAAACATCAAATATTTTCATTTTTGATTTTATTTGTCTTAACAATTTTAGCAATTTGTAGCAAACAAATTAAAATTTTTTAGTTTTCATTTTTTTCAATTAATGATTGAATTTGAATGAAAGGTAAAATAGCAAGAATTGATGAGAAAAAAAAAAAAACATTTTCTTTTTAATTTATAATATTTCTTAGCGTTTTTAGCAATTTGTTTATTTCATCAATTTCAATTTTTAATTTTATTCGTTTTGCATAATTTAGCAATTTATACCAAATAAATCGAAATTTTGCAATGTTTATTTCCTTTAAACCAGTGGTTAAAATTGAGTGATAGATAAAATAAGAGAAGCTGATAAATTCCGTCGAAGTAACTTTGTCACAGAAAAGATAGCAGAGGTGATGGCAAGAGCAAAAGCATCACTTCAAATATTTGTCACTCAATTTATGCTAAAACATAATTATTCTAATATTGCTTTTAAGTATAAAAGTTGCAAAGATTCAAAATTTTCATCGATTGAAATGATGCAAATAGTATTCCTTCTCGTTTTTTAGTATTAATCAAAACATATAATAGTAATACTAATATATTGGAATATATTGGAAATAAATTTACAATTGGCAATGTTATTTTTTTCTTTCTTTCTTTTTCTCCTATTCTTAATCTCATTTATTATAGAATATTATCTATGAATTTATATAAAATGGTGAAATGGATATAATATATAAATTTAATGATCAAATATTTTTTTTCTAGGAAATTATTTAGTATTTATTGAATAATCCAATAAAACTACAAATTTGGTTCAATACAAAAATTAAAGCTTATTTTATTAGGCACATTTAAATGTGTTTATAATAATGTTTTAGTCAGTTCGCTTATTAAATTTTATTAAAAAAATATTTATAAAATCATTGGAGTGCTATTATTATTACGGTTTTAAAAATTTTTTAAATGCTAAAATTTTAAGATCATATTATTAAATAAATTAGCGAGTATTTCTATTAATAATTCCATTAGCAATTTTTGGAAATGTTGAAATTTGAAGAAAAATAATGGAAGGCATGAATGAATAATTCATTAAACTATTAAGCAAAAAAAAAGAAATCGAACATTACAAATCTAAATGCACTGGTACATCCCACTAATTAATCATTTTCTCATTAAAATTTAATAAATTTACAGATAGTTTGACGGTTTTATTGAAATCTGTTTGATCCCAAAAAAAAATTTTAACAAATTTTGTTTTCCTTGTGGTCTTAAACTAATTTTATGAACCATATGGTGATAACAATTTCAGTACAGAAAGATGAATTTAACTGATATTTTCCACTGATCATTTCTGACTTTTTTTATTTAAGTACCACATGACTACAATTTTGTGATATTTTATATGTCTGCGATGTCAGCAAATTTCACATCCATCATTTATTTCAAATGAATGTGCATTCTTTCTTCTTTCAGTTTAGAGATTTTGATAATGATAGTGATTATATTTGATATGATAAATGATTACAGCACAGAATGATTGTGCCTGAAATTGTAGCATGGTAGTGATAATAATTATGCTTGATGTGATAATAGATTGTAATCATGATAACGATAATAATGATGATAAAAATAATGTTGAAAACAATTTGCTTCTACTTGAATTATATATCTAAATTTTTCATGTTAATGTATCATCTCATTCCTGCAATGATTATTTGATAATTTTCATTTAAATATCTTATTTTCTCATTAGAAATCATATTTTGATTGCAGTGTGATGAATTATCAGTGTCAGATATAAAAATTAATTTTCCGCTATTTGTAATTAACATAAGCGATAAGTATTTAAAGATTAATTAATAAATGTGTCACAAAAAAAAAACTTTAAACTAAGTTTGAAATGAAATTATATTTGCAATGTGATTAACAATATATTTAATTTAGTTATATTTTTTATTTTTTTAATTTTATCAAGTTTCGCTTAAAATTTCGTACATTCATTTTTTTTTGCATTCTTTTAATGAAAGAAATTTCAAAATGAAAACTTTAGTTTGAATTGAATTTTCTTACTTTTGTGCAGCAACTTAAACTATTAATATTTTATATTTTTGCCCTAAAATAAAGCACAAAAACCATTAATATTTTATATTTCTCTCCTGAAAATTGAAGCTTCACTTTTTTTCTCGTTTTTTTTTCAAGAAAATTCAAAAAAGCTTCTAAAAAAATCGAAGATTTTGGTGAGATTTGCGATTTAGAAAATTTAAAATGTTGCCAATTTTTTTTTTTTTTTTTTTTTGAATTTATGGAAATTTTTTCGAAACTTTAATTTATTCATCGATATTTGCATTTTTTGAACCAAACTGAAAATAACTCCAAATTTATGGTTTGCTTCCTTATTTGAAATAAAAACAAACTTTTTATCATAATTAGCTTTTTCCATTTTTCATTTTTTTTATGTGCCATTTTTTTATTTTCCTCTGTAAATTAGTATTTGATATTTATATGCATACCAATGATTTGCACGTTATTTCCATTTACTTAAATTTGAATTAAATTCCTTTTCTCTTTAAAATCTTTCTCCTAACAATCACTGAAGTAAATTATAATGAAGAAATGTGTTGATAATTACCTTCGCTGCTTACCTGATATTAATTACCATACATTATATATAATGAAAGAGAACAAAAACTAAATGAATAATTAAATTTTACCCTATGAGAAACAAAAATAATAACAATAGCAGCAATGAATATAAATATTCCTTTTATATTCGTAATTTTATTCTTACTAATATTAGTATTCATATTACTAATACTATTATCAAAATTATTATTTATTATGGCTCTTATTACTATTGCCCTTTTATTATTATTATTATTATTATTATTATTATTATTATTATCAATTATTTGCTGAAGAGTTGAATTATTTTTAAAGTGTTATTAATATTTACGCTTTCATTACCATTGCTAATTATTAAGTATTTTAGTAATTAATTTTTCTGCATTTACTTTTTTTTTTGCGACTTTGCTATTTTGTTTTAGTAAATTTAATTTGCTGCATTTGCATAGATAAAAGAAAAGAAAAAGGAATAAGAGGAAATATTACGGTGTTATAAAGGAAATTTAACAGATATTCATGTAATATATTATTTTTGAAAGGCTTTTATCCATCTAACAAAATGCAAAATATCTCTTTCATCCATCTAACAAAGCGCAAATGTCATTCTATTCGCTTATCTTACATCTCTGTCAATCATTCAACAAATGTGGCAAATATTCGTTGTTTCTCTCTTTACTTTCAAGCTTTAGCAATTTCTTCATTTTTCTCCTATTATATTATACCCTAATTTAGTTATAATTTACTACAAATAAAATTTTTATCTTTTAATTTTGTTTTTAATT